ATAGTATTATTCTTTTTATACCATCTTAAAATAAATCATACACATTTACTACTATCCAACATTACTCAAAGAGAACCACTCTTCCCATAATCTAAGGAGAAAGTCCTCTCATTATCATACTTTTGGTCACAAAGCTAAGGTAAGTCACTAACTAGATCTCTAGCCCAATCCTAAGAGATTTTTATAAATACCTATCTCATAATGAGAGAAAGAGGACTCTTAAATCATACACATTTACTATTATCTGTTAAATATAATTTATAGTGTGTCGAAACACATATTTGTTTTGATGAAATTTGATATGATTTAGATTTGATTTGATTTTGAATATTTTGGGTCTTTAATATTTTGGGCTTTTGTAAACATAAAACTATAAATAGGTGTCTTGCTTTGTAATCAAACATAGAACAGATTTCACAGTTGCAGAATTTAGCAAGTGAAAGTTCAATAATAATAAAAAATCTCACAGTTTGTGGGTAACACAATTTTCTCCAAATATTTCTTCTCTCATTCTTCTTTTTCTTGTTGTTTGTTTGTTATTCTTCTTCTCTTTTGCTGTTCTTGATAACTCTTTACTTGTTATCACCATTATTATCATATTGTAGGTTTGTTCATCAATCTTGAGATCAAGATTGAAGGGAATTCTTCATAGGGTGTGAGGTGAATTTCCAACACTATCCAACACCACTTGAAGAGAATGTTGCTCTTAATAGCCCTAAAAACATTAATCTAACTGTCCGCCTGCAAGATGGAAGCGCCGACCACTAGCAATGTCTCTTACCTCACGAATGCGGGTCCCTTAAATAGCATAAAATCGTACATGACTACTCACCATGGCCTATTGAAAAGCTAGACGCCTTTCTTTTGCAGGTCGGGTAACTCTCTCCAAAGGTGTTATTGAATCCTTTTCCTATATATACTATGATGACTACTAGAACTCCTAAAGCTTGTTTGCATGAGAATCAAAAGTTACAACGTTATTTTATATGGGGTGATAACAATGATCATATAAGATTTCATTCGATGAAGTGGGATGTGATGACGCTTCCAAAGTTCTTTAGAGGATTGTGTATTAGACACTTTAATGTTATGAATAATGCTTGTCTTTTAAATCTTGGTTGGGTCATTCTAAGTAATGAACAATTGCTTTGCTGTTAAGTTATGTGTGGCAAATATATGAGGAACAGTGTTGGTTATGAGGACATGATTGTTATAGAAAATGATTCTAATTTATGGAAGAATCTCAGTAACTTGTGGTATAAGTTTGTTTAGCTTGTGTATTGGTTTACAGGAGATGGTTCCAATATAGATATTTGGTCTCATTGTTGAGTTGAACCATATATGAAGTTGATGTATAAATAAGGTCAATACGGCTTCCTATTAACATTTAGAGGACTTATTGGAACAACATGGTCAATGGAATGTGAATATTTTAAAGAATATGTTTCCTCAAAATATGGTAACTAAAATTCTAACTATTCTCTCTGCTGGTGGTAATAGTGGAAGAGATATTTGTTGTTGGCCAAGCAATAAAAAATGTGAGTATATTGTTTCCTTAGTTTATATATTGATGTATTTTTTTAGGAAAAATGACAAAGGATATTTGGAGGTTGATATGGAAGCTTAAAATCTTTGAACAAATAAGGTCATTTATTTGGTTAGTGTATCATGGTAGAATAATGACCAATGAGAGAGAAAATAAAATGCAACTAGGAGAGCCTTTTGTAGTCAGTGTGGAACAAAGGTGGAATCAATTATATTTGTCTTACGTGATTGTTCTTTGAATTTTTCTATTTGACCTATGTGGTTAAGTTACATATGATGGGCTCTTTTTCACTAGTAATATTAAGGAGTGTGTGGATACTAATTTGTGTTTAGATTTTGATATTCGTGGAGATCTATCATGGTCAAAACTTAGGGCAACCTCTTGGCATGCACTTTGGATGTGGAGGAATAATGAATAACATGATGAGAATTTTTGGAGACCTAGAATTCCATGGCGGCATGTTACTAAAGTTGCTAATGAGTATTTTTTTTTTGCAACAGGACTGCATGGTAGTAAGATGAAGTTGGCTCGAGAGGCTAAACAAATAAGGTGGACTCCTCCTCCTCCTCCTCCTTCGAGATTGGTGAGATTGAACACAAGTGGCTAGTAAGAATTGTTTGATAGCAGGATGTGGTGGTCTTTTAAAAGATTGTACGGGTGTGTGGCTTCTAGGCTTTACAAGATATTTGAGTTCTTGTAATGCATATATTATTAAACTTTGGGGTGTGCTAGAAGGATTAAAATTAGCAAAAGAGTTTGAATTTCTAACTATTGAGTTTTATATAGATTTTAAGTGGTTGTTCAAAATATTTTTGATTCTAGACAAAATAGTATAATTGGAATGTGATTGGTACAATAAATTTAATAGTTGCGCAAATTGAATTTGGAGGTGAGATTTTTCATATGTACTATGATTCAAATACTTGTACAAATGCACTTGTCAACATAGTGTGTGATCTAGGTTCTAATTTGATGCTTTGAGAATAAGTTCATGTTCAAAATTCTCCTCTTTCATTAGTTGATTGTATTAGTGTCTACTCTAATGTTAATTGCTATGCAACCTTTTTTCTTTGAACTTCGGCCTTCTTTTCTTCCAAAAATAAAATTAAGAACTAACTTTGATTTATTAGATGTCTAGGGATCAATTGACACTTCCTGCCTTGCAAATTTGATTTTGTAAGGGAAAATATTATAGTTTGTAGACTCTAAAGAAATGAGAATGGTTAATTATTGCTTTTAGTCTGCATTAGGATTTATATGGTTGTACAAAAAAAATTTATTCTATGCTCCAATATTTTTTAATTTCAATCAATAAGTGTTTTTTATATTTTAGAAAAAGTAATTTTAGTTATTTTCTCATTTAGTGAGACCGTTTTTATTTATCTCATTTTCTATAAAAAAATTTAAGTGTATTTCTTAATCAAATAAAAGAAATATTATCGCTCCTTTCTGTCTATTCTTTTTGTTAGGGGTGTAATCGATATAGTTTAGATTGGTTTTGATAAAAAAAAAAATGGTCTAAACTAATGATATTTTTATTGATTTGTTTTATTTCGATTTTTAGTGTTTTTTAAAAAATGAAATTGAATTAAATTAACCGATTTAATTTGATTCGATTAATCAGTTTACATCATTTCTTTTTTTTCAAATACTATATTGATTTGTGTATTTTCTTCTATCATATTTTTCAAAGTATTTAGTACTAATATTTGTTCAAATAATATAATTCATGTATTTGATACTCTACTTTTCAAACAATTTACAAGTTGTACAAATCAATAACAAATGAAACACAACAATAACAATAAAAAAAATCGTTGAAGAAAAATTAACATGTTTTACATCTCAAACACGCACCAAAACTATTTTATAACAAAACTAAAAAGAAAACCTAAAAAGAATTAAAAACATATATGAAAATTACCTAAAAACTATTTTATAACAAAATTAGAAGGAATTTCGATTAAAAAAATCTAAAAAACATAAAAATTAACTAAGAATTTGAAATATGAAGAAGAATAATTATAATCATCGATTTAGTTAACTGAAACTACCTTGTTTTTTATTTGCTTGGTTCAATTTTAGAACCAAACCAAAACAAAATATCATTTTTTTTTTCTGATTTGTTTTGAATTATCAATTTAATCAATTTTTTCCGATCTACTTACATCCCTCCTACTTTCTACCTACATGATAATATACACACACATATGTCCTTGATCTTTTCTTTTATACCCCCTCCACCCCTCCTACTTTCTGCCTACACACATATGTCCTTGTCCTTGATCTTTTCTTTTATAGCCCCTATGTGTGTGTGTGTGTGTGTGTGTATATATATATATATATATATATATATATATATATATATATATATATATATATATATATATATATATATATATATATATATATATATATATATATATATATATATATATATATATATATATATATATATATATATATATATATATATATATATATATATATATATATATATATATATATATATATATATATATATATATATATATATATATATATATATATATATATATATATATATATATATATATATATATATATATATATATATATATATATATATATATATATATATATATATATATATATATATATATATATATATATATATATATATATATATATATATATATATATATATATATATATATATATATATATATATATATATATATATATATATATATATATATATATATATATATATATATATATATATATATATATATATATATATATATATATATATATATATATATATATATATATATATATATATGTACTTGATCTTTTCTTTAATACCGTAAACCAGTATCAAGTCATTCACTTACATGGATTATGCTTTTCAGCCAAATTTTCTTTCTAACACACAATTTAAATAGTAAAATATAAAACTCAAAGTTCTGTGCCATTCATGGTATATATTGTTGCAAAGTTTTAAAAAATAAATTATTATTATTGAAGGGAGTGAGTAGTACTCATAGATACATGTCTAGACCCCTGGATACAAAAATATAATGTTCAAGACTAACACAAGAAACACATCCACTAGGTGATCAATATATTATCATGTATACATTCCTAATAGTAACACTATGCTCTAGCAGAAACCCAAAATTGGGACCAATTTGAGATAGTATTATTCTTCTTATACCATCCTAAAATACATCATTCCACCTACAAATATACAAAGTCAGATTGTTGCCCCATGCAAATGTACAAAACCTTTGGCACGTGGACCAACTATTCAGCCATTTGAACATGACAAATCCATAAATTCTTGTCCACCATCCCATTTTCTTGAGATAACTACTAGCAGCTTTGTCTCAGTAAGGTATGGGCTATAATTTAACTTGTGAGTCTCACAGTTGACTAGTGGATTCCACCACACAACCATGCGTGTTTAGGTTTAGCTCGCTGTAGGTGAATCTTTTGATTTTTCAGTCATTGTGTCTTTATCTGAGTTGCTTGTCTCGGCTGTCTGTGTTTGGCTAGTTTGTGGCTGACTTGAAATTTGAGAATCGGAAACAATGCCTGGCTGACTTGAAGCCTGAGAATCGGAAACAATACCTGGCTGACTTGAACACTGAGAATCGGAAACAATGCCAAGAACAACCAGCACGGACCTGAACAAAAATTTAAACTAAGAATCCATATTGGCAACAATAAAAATAATTGTTTTCCCCTTTCTAAACCAAAAATGAATTTAAACACAGAAATAAAGAACAAACATCCACTTTAAAAATAAAATAAATATAGAAGGCGAAAAGAAATAAGAGCACAATTGTGCCGAGTGATTAATGAACCTGGGAAGTGAAGATTGTATATCTGGCTGGCTAGCATGAGAAATCAATGGTGCCTTCAGTGCAGGAACTTTATTTAATGCAGCTTCCAATTGTGGTGGAGGTAGCTGCACAGACACCACCAGAAACACATTAGAACATAATTTTTAAACATATAAGAACTTTCACAAAGACCATCCTGAAATCATGAGAGTGAATTTGAAAAAGAATAGAACAGGAGGGAGATATATATTCCCGAGAAAATAGAACATCAGGATCAAAAGCATATATTATCTATCTTTACTTGTAGGTTCTCTTCTGCCACAAATTTTTGAACCAAATGAGCAGCAAGGTATTTTTAAAACTAATAGAAAGTATTCGGTGATGTCTGCTTGATAACTACAAGAGCACTATAAGTAATTCAAAAGTAAATAAACCCTAGTTACATTTTTTAATTTGTATAATATACACTTGTGATATCCTTTTTATTATGTCTAGGTCAGACATTGGAATATAATCAAAGTTCTAAAATATTTTCCAAGAATACAGACCACACAATCCTCCCCTGCTTCAGAAATTATATAAATATCCATCTAACTGCCATATTACATGTATCGTATGATTAATCTTGGGGTAAATAGAGCTCTCCCACTATCTGTTATTTAACAAGGAAATGTAAAAAATCTCCTGAAATGTGGTATAATAATACATATTGGCGCTACTGGTGTTCAACGGAATACTAGTAACCACAATGAATACCTATATCATAACATACTTATGCTATTTCACTGTTGACAATAAAAATTGTAAATTATTTTTAATCCCGACAGATATCGTCAGCACCTTGATAAATCTTCTAACATAGGTATAATAACTGGTAATTTCATCCTTCATTAAATTGTTTACTTTTTATACAAAATAAGTATGTAAAGGTTGAGTGCTGAACTACGCCAATAAAAAATTAAAAACTTATTGAGAACATATGATGGAGATAAGGGCGTAGGACTACGTTAACCAAACAGTTAGAATTTACAAATGATAATACCTGAAGCAAAACACCAAATGACTGAGGTTTTGTCAATTGTAAACACTTCACGAATCCCACCCACAGCTTTGGTTGTTTCCATATCTACAGCAACTCATTTAATCATGTATATGTAAACTGAAAAGCTGAGTGGATTATCAAATATAAGATTGATCAAATAATCACCTGCTTCTTCACAAGGCGAGCGAGAATCCCCATAATAAAGTCCACCTGTAGAAATTTAACCAGGTCAATAATTTGTAAAATACATCAAATTCAAATCAAACAGTAAAAACATATAATAGATTGATGGTAGATTTTCAATTGGAAAATAAGGAAGTAATTCAATTGTGAAAGATAAGCAATGTAAGCTTTGAGGGATCTATATGGGGTTTCAAAACACAAAGCAATCATTACTAATCAAATTCCTAAATTTTGTTACACAACAAATAATCAAATGTGTTTCTTTGTATTATTGCATTTCCTTGTGTAAGTAAGTTTCTTACCAGTGTTGGAAAAGCATTTATTGCTTGTAATACCGTACGCATGAACAATAAAGGAAGAGGAATTTGCTCAACCTGCAGGGAAGAGTAGTTACTGTATGAGATCAAACTATGTTGAATATCCTTTCCAACTAAAGAAAGCAATTCCCACATAACATACCAATTGATTCAAAACTTTGGCAAGAACTTCTTGGGTAAAAGTTTGTCGCTGCTCAAAGCAAGCATTGCATGCATCAGTTACCTGCATGGAGACCCTTCAGTTATGCAAAATGTATTTTGATTTTTTGAATAAGCACGATGCACAAAACCAATCATCATAAGAGCCCTACCTTTTTTAAGGGAATTCCATCTCTTTCAGGATCAATTCCATGAATAGCAATTAATATTTCAGCTGGTGTAAGCACCGGACCAGATTGTGATGATCCCTGTATATGAACTTCACAATTAATTCAATACCTTAAAAGTGTTAATGGTTCAGAACAATATTTTCTAATAATATCATGGAGTATACTTCCCATAACCTTTTGTTGCTAATAAAAGTTATCTCCTAAAAATTGTAGCTACAAGTGCTAATTTCACGCAGGTGTAATGCTAACGCTAAAAAAATATGTCATGATTTTTGCATACGATACTCCACACCCACTCAGCCACGCCCTTCCCCCATCCACTTCTCACATCCCTCTTCCACCACCTTCCCCTACCGAAAAAAATGAATGAACTCAGTAAACAAAAAACATTTTTCCTCCATGTGCTAATTACAAGTTCTGATGTCTAGTTTTGTATGCCTCCATTTTATATTTCTTGGAAGGTCAAATTTTATTTTTCTTTATCCACCACTAATGAAACCTTTCCTAAACTCAATTTCTTTTTTCGAGCTCAAGGTCTGCAACTTTTCCAAAAAACAGGACCAGCCTAAAAAACAAAAATAGACCCCTTTTTACAAAAAGTAAAAAAAAAATCTATTTTCATTTTCAAAACTGTTCACTTTACTTGCTAACAAGATAATAGACTCATGAAGTGAACAATTGTGTGAGATTTTTGAAAACAGTGAAAATGCCAAAAACTTATTTTCATTATTTCCAAAAGTGAATCATCCCTAACTAATATTTCATCTTATCTACATCACAATGGTTCACTTCAAGAGCTCTACATCATTTTATTAGAAAATTAAAACGAACACATTTTAGGAAATGAAAAACAGAATGTTTTCACAAAGTAAACCAGTTTTATATCTAATAGCTATATGTCACAATTTTTGCCTTTGTATATCTTGAGAAGTTTCAACTTCAAAAGGTCCATAACCTAAAATTCTAGATTTCTCGAGTTATTGTTACAAAGTTCTGTTACACTTATAGCATCTATAATAGCTTTTGGTTTAGGTGGACAGGCCAGCTATAGAATACAATACTTGGTTCTACTACTAACCCTACTTAACCTATTAAGAATTGAAATGAGTCTCCTTGGGTCCTACATTAATTAGCAACTCTAATTATTGGCTATGAAAGAGTAAATCATACCTGCAATACGCGATTAAGTGCTTCTTGAAACTTCTCAAAAGGCATCTTAACAATGTTGGCAAAAACCGGCATTACCTATTAAAAGATATTCACCGAATGAAAAACAAGATATTTCAAGATTTATATGAAAGTAAACAAAGAAAAAAGACATAACTTACAAACAATTCTTACATGACCCATTGATAATACTTCACATGACTTTTTTTTCTTGATTTGAAATCACTTTGTAATTTTACTAAAACAGTTAAATTCACATCTAAATGTAAAGAAAAAATAGGAAGTACCTCATTTTTCGGTAGGAATGGCAATATTGGAATAAGAACCTCTGCATCCTGTAACGGACCAGCCAGATAGGTAATCGGTATTATGCAAAATCATGTTTTTTTACTACAAAACTTACACAGGAAAATTCTGACATACCTTAAGTTTTGAATCATATAACCTTTTCACAGTAAATATTAAATCCTTAGAAGGGATTGTACCATCAGTAAGTGTATGCAACACCTGACATGGCCAATGTAAAAATATCAAAAAATTCTCACAAGAATTATATGGTAATACAGTATTCAATATATTTCTGTAAATTTACATTTGCGAAAAATTATAGGGTAAAACAGTAAACCTGCATTAGGAGTTTCTCACTTCCATTTGGGGGATCTGATATAATATCAAGGAGAACTGAAGATGAACCCAATGTACGAACTAGTATGGGAATCTGAAGATGAATAGCCTGCGCATACAATTAATGACATAAAACTAGTGACCAAAAACAAAATAGTTGACAATATTCACTAGAATACCATATATCAAAATTTGAAACCTGCTTTGCTGCTTTTGATGTGTTTCTATAAATGACAAATATTTCGCGGAAGAGGGAGTGTTTCTGTCATCACAAAGCATCAACATAAGGAACTTTTGATCAAACAACTAAAAGTATGTGACAGAACATGAAAAATATAGAAAAATCTGTCGACATATATGAAAATTGTTTATAATATCTTGATTGCATCTCCAACTTAGATTATCTCATAGAACCTGTCTCCAATATTTTCTTATCTATCTTGATCTATTACCTGATTTAATTAATAATTAGGATAGAATCTAATGAAATAGCCGGAATATCAAGTTCAACTCATTTATTAAATAAGGAAATAGTCGGAACTTGAGTTAAGAACCAGTGGAGTTATTAATTTGTTGAACACTTGAACTTGATTCATGAACCAAATTAGGCGAACTTGATCTCAAAATTAAGTTCGTAAAATAAATGAGTTGAACTTGATATTCCGGCTATTTCAGAAAAGCTGTTTGGCCCTAGATTTCTCCCAGTGATTGTTTGTTATAATTTCTAAATTCTATCCCACTCAGATGCAATCCGAACTTGACTTCTGCTACAAATGCATTCTATAACCCCTTCTTTTGGTCCCAGATGTGATCTACCAGTCTCTAATGTCAAACTACTTTTTTTATGGCATTTCATTTTTATTAATGAGCCCAAGCCCAGTAATGTTATGCATGAGGGGGGGTGTAAGAGTTCCACATCAAATGAGATATGTCCAGAACATATGCTTATACTAATAAGTGGAGGCAGTTTTCACCTTAAAAACCAGTTTTGTAAGGTTGAGTTAGGCTCAACCCAAATTTTAGGAATAACAAGCTCAAGCAAGTGTTAGACCATATAAAAAATATCTTATACCATTTTTATTATATATCAGTAATTTGAAATATCACATAGATTATCTCTTAGATTGGTCTCCATATTTCCTTATATATCTCGATTTGATTCCTTTTATAATCAAATTAAAAGTCTAGTAGTGCTATAAATAATAATAAGTGTTCTTCATAATACCCAACATATTCACATCACATCAATATAATTTTCTTTTTAGTTACTTTTCCTCCTTCAATAACTGAAGGATTAACCCGTAAAGTTTCAACTGGATATATTCTAGAAAATAACACAATACCTTTGTGCACAAAGCAAAATACAATGACATGCCCCTCTGAGCCTCAGAAACTGAAAGTAGTGAGGTGGCCTCAGATATGTTTGGTTGCCGATTATCTGAGAGATCCTTAGTACTGCCACTCAAAGACGGTGGTTCAGTTGCAAGCTTTTCAATATCACGTCCCGGAAAAGGAAAAGAGTAAAAGTAAAATAGTATATCTAGTTCAACAAAAATATGGAAAAAATCTGCTGACAATAGACTCTAATCAGAAAAAATAAAAGTGAATTCATAAAAACATGAATACCTTTTGTGAATCAGCAATGGACCCTTCAGCATCTGTAGCTTCAGAAGCATCACTACTCATCACTGAGAACATCATTTCCTTCGCAAAATCTTCTATTTGCTTAGAAATTGATGATAAAGGATAAAGTTTATTTGCTACCTACAAGAAGAGCCGAAAGTATAAGAGAGGTGCTTTTAAGCAGTCAATTAAATTCTTCAACTGAAAAGTATGCCCTAGTACCAGACGTATTGCTTTCATGCGCACTTCTTCCAAGTGATGCCCTGCACTCTTTCAAATAAAAATGAAAAAAAGATCAAAGCAAAAAGTTAGTTAGACACAGAAATTTACTAATGCGAAGGGAAGCAAGGTTTGAAAGTTCAGGTCCTATAATTCAAAGAACACGGGGAGCATATTCAAGTATCATTAAGCCTCCTTTTGACGTCAATTTAAACATGTAAGGGGAAAAAACAACAGAATCAACGGATTTCTGAAAAAATATCACAACTACACAGAAAAAAAAACACCACAAATGTTAAATATAAAAAGTACGAGAAAAACCTGTAAAGCAATTTTTAAGCAAGTATCTCGAATGGGAGGCCTTAGAAGAATCAAACTCCATACAGCACTTAGACCTTGAGTAACTCTATCCGCATACAATGTGTGTGATTCCTTTTCATCTTTATCCCCATTTCCAGGAGAACACATGTTCTCTAAAATTTTTAAAACTGATTTTGGCAAATAAGGAGATTCACCGAGCAGTTTACTTAATGATTTATCCGAAGGTGGAAAAGAATCTCTAAGTGCTTCTGCCTGCATTAGAAGTTTAATCAAAAGCTCAACTCTTGAACTCTTGCCTCGCAAATGGAAAAACAAGAAACAAATAAACAAACAAAAAAAATACAGACCACTGTTAGGAGGAATGATTCGTATACAGAAGCTGCAGTTGTGGAAGAAAAGAAGTCGGGCTCCACTTCAGCCTCACCAAATAACCTGTAGAGGACACGCAATGTCAACTCATGTCCCTGACACACAAGGCACTCATTGTCAGCGTCTGTAGATTATTAACCAATGCAGATGGCACATAATAGTTGATTGGATTATCTAAACAGTGTCTTTAATCAATTCAGCAACAACACAAGTTGACTAGATTTACTACTAGTTAACATGTCCTTCATATATTGTTAGCTCAAAAAACGGCAGTATCCGTAATACTTATAGTACATGCATACCAACTTAATGCCTTTAAACAGGCTTTTTTTTTTAGATTTCAAACATTAAGCGACAAAACAAAACATGTATCACAAAACAGGTCCAAAAGTATAACGAGGCTCAGTCATAATAATGGTCAGCCCTCCAAGTTTGGAGGTGGAAAGTTATCCTATTTATCTAAAGATAAACCTACATTTTCAAAAAATGGTTCTTGATTATTTCTAAAAACAAAATTAAAGGGTGGTTAAGGATGATCTCTTAATTTAAATAAATTTAAATGATCAAATGAGCTAATACATTAAGAGTAAAGAAATACTATAAAGATAACATACATTGCTTTCTCTTTCAATTAGTTATGGGGTGAGGTGGAAAGAGTTTACTTTATTGAATTAATCATGCCAAAGCTAATCGATAGAGAAATTGGTAATATGGCATGCGCTTACCTCATGACTAGAGTAATCAATCAAAATATGCTTTTGTAACAATTTCCACGGGTCTAACTCCAAAGGAAACTGTATGATGAATGAAAAAAGAAAAATAGTTACATTCCACTAGTTAAACGCATTTATCTAAAAGGAAAAAGAAACACTGAGTGCAAGCACAAAGAAATAATAAACATGCATTCAACTAGCAATGGAAATTTATATCCTAATTGCATAAAATTCAGAACTATAAAACAGGTAATAAGAAAACATTTAATGTTCAAAGTAATACATTGTGGTAAACAAGATAGTTTAAACAGGAGGCCGTATAAAAATCATGATTAGAGAAAGAAAAAGATATTAGGAGGGTAAATTCTGAAGATCACATGTTCTGATAGCTCTAATACAATCATAACCCACAAAGCCTAAATCACACAAATCTCCAAAGTTCGGTGAAATTTTATATACCACCTCATCTAGTTTCAGATGCAAGGAAGGCCATAAGTGGGTACATGAAAGTGTATGAAAAAAAGGGTGATGTTTAAAAATAATTTGGTATTTCTATCTGTCAGATAAAAATGTAAAGTAGGACAGGCTAGTGTGATTTCTGAAAGTAAAAGACAGTTCATATCAGCAAGTCTAAGGTAAATGTAGCTTCCTAATAAAGATCAATGCATCTAAAATAAAAGGGAACATCAAAAGTTAAAGGTCATTATAAATTTTATTAACACAGATACAGAATACAACAAAGAATATATAGTGGGACTTCCAACAACAACCAAGCCTTATCCCACTAAATGGGATCGGCTACATGGATCAAATTACACCATAATGTTCAATCAAAGACCATGTTTCTATTCAATTCATTAATCTCAAGATCTTCCCTAATAGCTTTTCTAGGTCTTCATCTACTTTTAGTTGTTCCTCCCCATTTGGTCTACTCTCCTTACAACAAAATCAACAGGTCTTCTCTCTACATGCCCAAATCACTCAAGTCTATTTTTCACCATATTTTCTCCTATAGGTGTTATCCCAACCCTCTCTCTAATATTGTCATTTCTAATCTTATCCCGTCTAGTCTTACCACACATCCAACACAACATCCTCATTTCTGCTACACTCACTTTATTCTCACAGTGGGACGTCCACGCTTCTAAAAAAATCTTGAATATAGCAGTTCATATATCGAACACGTAACCTCATTTGTCATTACACAACCAAAAAAAATCAGACATTCTTGATAAGTTGGAATTTTCACCTCAACTCCTAAATAAGCAAGTATTGAAAATCGAACTTTTGAGCCTCCAGCTACAGATATTTGCTTATATGCATCAATGATACGCATAAAACATGATATTTGCAAATGATCCTTCTGCTCATCTGCAAGATCAACAACTGGAGCAATCATCTTTGGCAAGACTAGACGAGAAGGTAACACAACTGAAGTAGCTGTTGAGGACACCAAACTATTGACATCTGTAGCAACTGCTTTTGGGCTCAGCTCCTCAGATTTATCTGCGGATATTGATGGAACTAAGCTCAAGGGTGAGCTATTATCCAAACTCGTAACTTGCTCTTGACTGGCATCTTCTATTTGCATATCAGTGGAAACCAATGAGGAAGCAGCCAAAGGTTCTGACAATGCATCATTTCGACCAAAAGAATCCAGGCCAGGGATTCCACTCTCTAAGTTGCCAACGTCATCTATGTCACAAGGCAGAGTTGTGCTGACATTCTCCACTCCAGGTATACAAGTATCAGAAGATGGAAACTCAGTAGGTGATGGTGCATTTTGAGATGAGAGAATCATGCCAGAGTGTATAACACTACTATCTACTCCAGTTGAAGAAATTTCTTCCTCCCCGTGAGACTTCTACAACGTGTGTACAAAATTAGTCAAAGGATCAGAAATAAACAATTAAAAAATGTAAGGTATAAAAACAAAAACAAAAAATACCAATTACATAAATTATACCACTAAATCATTGGACACTGATTGATGAACAATGGACCCTGATTGATGAACATTGGACCCTGATTGATGAACATTGGACACTGATTGATGCACATTGGACACTGATTGATGAACATTGGACCCTGATTGATGAACATTGGACACTGATTGATGAACATTGGACCCTGATTGATGAACATTGGACACTGATTGATGAACATTGGACCCTGATTGATGAACATTGGACACTGATTGATGAGCATCAAGAAGTGAAGCAACAGGCGGGAAAGTACTAGAAAGTGACATAACACCAGCCACAAATGATTGTGGATATTTAGCCTTGTCATGAGAACCAAATATACTAATGTCATGCAACAGTTCATCATTTCCTTCAGCATTAGGACAATTTGGAGGTAGATAACGCATATTTGCCATCACCACCTCAGCTAGTAAATCAGCAGAAATACTTGAGATAAGAATTTCCAAAGATGCAACAGCCTTTTCACCTTGAGCAACCAAAGCACCAAACATGGCAACAAGCTGCTGTACAGGCCCATTATCCGCATCTCCTTTTGAAGATGCTGGTGCAGTCGAAGGAGTGTCATCCTGTGTGTTAGCAGTACCTTCATCTAATTCCATTTCAGGTTTATTTTGTAAACCATCATTCGTTGTTCTAACACGTTTTCCAGAAACATCTGCATCTTCAGCTAAATCACCTCCATTTGGTGATCCTGGTCGTTTTCTTCCTAAATTAATGTGCCCTGAATCAAACAAACTTACTGCAGCATCCTCTTCCTGTAAAATGATAACATTGCCATCCAGAATTACTAAGACACATATAATATTTCAGTGGATAAATGTACTCATGCCCTACTATAATTAAATAATTTGCAAAAGATTTATTTTGGCCCATGAGCTTAATAACTAGCACACTGAAGATATGCAATAAAAAAATTAATTAATAACCCATGAAGATTCATTTGAATTATCAGACATAACCCAACGGTGTTTGGCAAATCTATAACTACTACCTGTTTCTAAAATATCTATTGGCAATTCATCTGTATTATCACAGCCATGATCCCAACTGTGACACCAGAATTAGCCTTAGTTATAAGAAAATATTAATGCATTTTACTTATCCATTATCGAAAATATTGCATTCCAGTAATTTTAAGAAAATTATTAATTTTGTCAATTATAATATATTACACCCTATTAATGCATTTTCCAAGTTCCAATCAATGGAGATAAGAATAGACAAAAATAAAGTATGAGAAAATGTGATCTTGATTTCCTAAAGCAAAAAAAAAAAAGGAAACAAAACTATTCTCTATCTTATAATTGGCAGATATTTTGAAATGGAGAGGGTACTGCCAATCCCTTCTACAAAGAAAACAATTTTTCAACAATAAATGCATCTCTATTCAGTCACATAGGCAATATTCCATTCAGCATATACACCTTCCTATTCATATATACACAGCTCAAATAAAAACATACAGCAGAATAATAAAAATATATCCAAAAAAATAACAAATGGTTGTTACCTTGATAACTGGTTGATAATCCTCTCTTGGTAATGTACTTCCGTTACTTGCAGAGATTGGCTGAAACACCTGATCTGCCTTCCCTTCAGACTGCATCTCCTTCAAGGCACCTGCCAAACGTTCTCTCCACTTCAAAAACAAAACAAACAAAAAAATAAGTCATCTATGTCTTGTTTATAAAGTATATCAAGCCTCATTTACGGAAAAAGTATAAAGATTGAAACTATCTATTTGGGTATTTTTTAACTCTCCCTTTTCATACGCAATCAATTTTAAAGTTTTAAACAAGGAAATAGGTATACCAAAGTGCATTGACTTTTTTACCCAGACATAATATAAATAAGATCCTTGTCTCCTTCATTTCAACATTTCATTTTTGAGACCATTAATCCTAATTACACATTTACAAATAAAAGAATTTGTTCTCCAACTTCCAAATAAATACTTTGCAAAATGAGTTTAATTATCTGTTTATCTTGTTTCCCCCGCCATTATAGGCCAGTTAGGTTGTAGCGGATTGGAGGCAGGGTAGGTCAGGCAACTCCATATGGCCAATATTTGGAAGATATTGATAATAGGGGCAATTCTACATGGTTCCCTCAAAATAGGATTCAGTGTATACTCGTAATCGCTGAGGGCAAAGAGATGACAGAGATGCATGGGAGAGAGATGACAGAGAAGTGCAGGTGAAAGATGGCATAAAAATTCAGTGAGTTGAGTGTGAAGTGGGTTTTTATTCTTTAGTGTTTAGATTTGATTAGGTCGGTCTTACCCATATCTATTTTTGGCACTTTTTTCATGGATGCCATGCCCGCCAATGGAAATAGAAGCCACCATTTAACAACACTTGATGACGTGCAAAATATTATATGGAAGTAATAAACATATTTTGTTTAGTAACAAGAAAAGTCTTTTCTCTAGGTGGGGTTAGCAAATATGAAGTTGTTCATGATATAAAAACTAAGAAAATTAAGTTGGCATATACAAAAAAAAAAAACGACGAAAACTAAAACTTCAAATTGGGAATTAAATAATTAAGATATCAAAAGCATCTTGGTTTGTAAAGAATACCGGGGCAGCACTTGGATGTGTACATTTCGTGCACGTAAGAAAGGCCTTCTTTAGAGCAAGATGTGCAGCAGACACACAGACCCCATTAACAACAGAGCTTGAGGGTTCCAAACTGAGCAAAACTGGCAAGATGCGACCATAGAATGCAGGCCTGTCTATAGCAATTGCTGAAAGACTAGGAGTAGAGAAAAGAGTATGTTAATAGCAATAAGGTAACATTTGAATAATAGATTTTTCCAAACAGTGTTTGGCAGGCAATGTAAAAAAAATCTAATTATAGACATAGAACAATCCTCAAACTAGTGTCAAACATTGCAAAATAAATGTTCCTGCTTTCTTCCAACCAAAACCCGATCAGTTTTTTTCTCTTTGCACATCTGTGTACCCATGAACAAGTTTTAAAGGGTCATATGAGCAAGCAAATATCGATCATCTATTCATCATGCATATATCATCAGAAAGTGAAAACATAATATTCTCCTTGTGTGTGCATGTAAGGGGGTAAAAGAGCAAATATTAATCATCTATTTCTATGCATGTGTCATCAAGATAACAACACGAGTCATAGAAAATCAACAGCCATAAAATATTTTTTTTAATACCTTTTAATAAGCATAGTGATCACAGTCTGTGTGTGAGAGAGACAAAGAAGTAAGCAAATATTTAGATCCTGAGGCCTTGCAAAAAAAAAAAAGATCCAATACCTTTTAATCAGCACAATGATTACTGAGTTACTAAGAGACTTCACAGTTGGAAACCTAAGTTGATCAAGCAAGAGACCCAAATTATGACTGGCTTCCATTGACAAATCTCCAATGTTAAGTACAGGATGATCCCGCCTCAGCCATGAGATATTAAATACCGGTTGTTTTCCTATTTTTTTTATAAATAAAAGATATTGAAAAGCCATGTAAGCAGGTGATTTGAGGTTTACGATAACAACGGATTGACACATACATTTTTGAAAGACTAATGATATTATCCAACCAAACTTGAAACGTAATACCTTGATGAGAAGTGGGTTCTGTGGAACCATTAGGATCAAGTGTGTAAAGATGAATAACTGCTTCAACAAACTTCAATGCCAGCAGCTTTGCTCCACCCCTTCCATTCTTTTAAGCAAGTTACAGAGTATAACCATCAGAGAATATACAAAAGCAAGTAATTTCATACCTTCAAGAAAACAATTACTCACTTGAAATGCTATTGAGTATACTTTGTCTTTGAATTTAATCATCCACTCCCACGCAGATTCAACTGCGCTGTCTAAATCACTAGAATATAGACCCTGGAACAAAATAAAACCAGGAAAGGAGATGTTCATATCTTAAAATGTATATCTATAATACATGAAAACAATAGCTATGAGATAAGACAACTACTATAAGATTTTAAATTTTCATATTTTAAGTTCAAATACATGCTAGCATTTTATCATTCTTTTCCTCATGTTCTCATGGAGAACTCGAGGCATGAATAATAACTTTTCCTCAACCCTTTATATAAGATGTTCAGCTTATGATGTTGTGCCTAGTAAGGTAAAATAAAAGTTTACAAAATCAAAGGTGTCGCAGAATTTTGAAGATTGGAACCCGATTGGGATGTAGACTATAGAGATAACAAAACCCCAAATTAAACTATATGATTATAATGATACCTTTCCTGACTTCTCATGTTTCTTGAATCTTGATTCACAAATTTAATAATATCCTCCAAAACAAACATTTCACTCACCTTGCCAATTGATGAATTCAGTAACATATATCCAAGTGTGTAAGTAAAATAAAGTAAAACCTAAGTATATTATCTTTCATATGCATTAATTTCATAATGAAATAACAAAACATACAATACTACCAACACTGACATTCAACAAAAAAAAATACATCTACCGCCAAACCAGCACAACAATCACTATCCATAGTCAATTCTGTTACAACAACCAACTGAACTGAAAGCTGTTGAAATTAAGAAAAAATTAATCACCTGAACCGCAATTTTCTCGAGTGTGTAACGAAACAAATCAATTCCACACAGTATAGCTTGGCGAACAACAGCAGGTGTATCATCATCCAAGACATCAATCAACACAGGCACAATATCAGGCAAGAATTCAGTGTTCATCAATCCAATTTCACCAATCATCCTTCAACCAAACAAGAACAAAACAAAAACGCAAGTTCTAGCATCAAACTCAAATCCAAACAACAATGCAACCAAAAATATGAAACAAAAAAGGCGCAAATGAAAGTACTCGGTGACAAATTTGCGAACAGGACTGAAACGATCTGAGAGGAAGTCGAAAAGCGGGGGGAGGAACTCAGTGAGAATGACAGGATCTTCTTGAGGAAGTTCATTCTTCAATTTGCGCAATGAGTCGAGCTTTGAAGGTATGTCAATGGCCAATTTGGCTGAGTGGATGAGACTTGCGAGGTTTTCACGCGAAGTTGCGGCCATGGCTTTTCCAACCATAGTTACAGAGTAGAATAAACCCTAATTTTGGAGAATTTGCATTGAAATTGCGAGCGAAAGAGGATCAATTGTTTTATCTAGGTTTATGAATAAGAGGGAGAACGGATTTGAAATGCTAAACGCATGTTTGACTGTGTTTTCACCATTTTTCGGGTTGGTAAGAGAACCGGGTCGGGCTTATTGGGATCCAAGACCATAACACAAAAATGGGTCATGTCATGTTTATGAATCTATCTATATGTAGGAATATAAATTTCATGACTAACTAACCCTACATATTGTTGATTTTTGCTAATGCATGAGAAATAATTATATACTTTTGTCTAATAGTAAAATTAAAATTAGAGTTAAGACAAAAAGATTAAAAAAAATGATGAATAAGTTAAATTGTATCAATATTTGAAACAATATTCGACAAAATTATCAACTACTATTGATTTTGAGTCAATCTAAAAAAACATTAAAAATATCACATGAAAGAGATCCATTGTCACCCTAACTAAAGTAATAAATATAAGTTTTAACTAAAAATTTTTCACTTCTATGAATAAATCATGCAATTATTATGAGAAAGAAGCGTCGACAAATCATATGAACAAGTTTCTTTGATTAAGATTGATGAGCTATGAAAAAATTTGGATATTTTTATTATTTTCCTTTTGCATAATCAGACAATTGGTAAAAGAATTGATAATCACGTGTTAAAATAATTAAACTACTATTATTTATGATTAAATAGATAGGTGCTAATAATAATAAATATTTATTATTTTTATACTCAAATAATAATTTGTTGACCTAACATTCATTTTATTCCTTCATTATTCTCTTTCTCTTGATTTTGAAAAGTATGATAGATAAATTTCATGATAAATATATTGATAGAGCATAAATCTTGGATCGATAAAAATTAATAACTAATTCATTATCACCAATAACACTAATCCAAAATTTTGGTTGAGACGATTTGCAATACCCTATTAAATTATATGAATAGTGTTAATTTGTGCCCTAGAGACGCATATTAAGAATTTTATTTATAGAAAATTTATAATTAAAAAAAGTAACAGAAAAATTAATTTTATATATTTATTAAAATCAATGCACAATTTTCAAGATAATATTTTTGTATTTAATTTTTAATTTGTGCTCTTAAGGCCCAAGTTAATATTGTTCAAATTATATTTAAGATGAATTTAGAGTATGTTAATCATAGTATATTCCTTTCTCTTTTTTATCAATTATCTAAGACAAATAGAAATATTCTCTCTAAAATGTCTTTCACTGTCGAAAAAAATTACACTAACAAAAACCTCATTCTTTTAATTAACAAATTATAAAAATTTAACATTTGCTCGCTCTTTAAACTTGCATGTTCATGTCAATGTTTTCCTTTAATCACTTTCTTTAATTTAAATTAGACATTACTATTCACTTTACAAAGTCGAAAAACACTCTCAAAAAACATGATGAGGGAAAACTAGCAAGGAAGAAGAAAATAAACATATAAAAACTTCAATATTCATTATCTTCTCCATGGTTTAGGCATTACTTCTCCAACTTCATTTAATAACTTAGAAATATATAGTAACGAGATCCTGAAAAAATTTATATCTTTTTTGTTATTTTCAAGTTCTTCAAAATAAAAATTAAAAAAGTTTGTCGATGTAACATTGTTGAACGAAAAATAGTTTTGTTTGTAAATCTTAACAAGCTTATTTGTTGCAAAGTAAAAATAATTTAGGTTGAAATTAAATAAATTTTGAACATAAAAACCTTCAAATCATATGTTATGAGATGAGTTTTCACTAAGGATCGTTGAACATTATGAGACTTATTTTTTAAATAAACACTTAGGTGTGTAGATTCTCTCACTTATAAATGCTCACGTTTTCATATTTCTAACGAATGTGAAATTATTATTCATACTACTCACACTTACCCAAATTCTCAACATTTCTTAAGCATAGAAATCAATTCCTTGTCACCTTAAAGTCATATCACCAAGATGATCATCAAACTCCACCTAAATCATTATACTCTTCATTTACAACTTCAAAACCACTTACCTAACTTATTTATTTGTTAGATCATTAATTACTTTATACTCATGTGTACATGTTTTTGTTAGATCATTAATTACTTTATACTCATGTGTACACTAAGCTGCATAATACTGATCATCAATTACTTTTATTTATTTATAGAATTGATATATTAAGAGTGTATGATATGTTTTATATCTAAAAAAACAAGTATGCCGATTAGTTAATACAAAAAAGAACATATAGCTTTATTGTATTCTAACACTAAAAATAGATAGAGCTGTCAAATTAGGGAGTCGAAGCCTAAATTTTAAAGTCCTAGAATTATAAGGGGTCTAAAATCTTAAAGATAAATAAGTAGACCCCATAAGCTAAAGGCCTCTAAAATTTAAGAAAGGCCTCAAGTCCCCCACATTTTAAAAATGTTGACTCTTTTGAAAAAAAATTCATTTTTTTCAGAAAAAAAGAAATTTTTATATTTAAAAAAAAAATTTACTTTTTTAATTTTCAAAAAAAATCAGTTTTTTTTCCAAAAAGAATTATTATTTTTTCATTTTTGAATAAAATCGATTATTTTTAATTTTTAAAAAAATAAATTTTTATATTTTCAGAAAATTGACTATTTAACTTCAGATTTTTTTTCAAAAAATGATATTTTTTTTATTTTTGAAAAAAATTCGACTATTTTTATTTTCGATAAAAATAAACTATTTTTAACTTTCGAAAAAAATTGACTATTTTGAACTTTCAAAAAAATCATTTTTTTTAGTTGTCGAAAATTCATTTTGTATAGAAAAATCAATTTTGTTTGAAAAAAATCGACTATTTTTATTTTCGAAAAAAAGCAACTATTTTGAACTTTCGAAAAAAATTGACTTTTTTAGAAAATATCAATTTTTTTATTTGTCGAAAAACTAAATTTTTTTTACAGAAAAATTGACTTTTTTTTACTTTTGTAAAAATTCGACTTTTTTTATTTGTCTAAAAATCAATTTTTTTACAAAAAAATCAACTATTTTCTACTTTTGAAAGAAAATAATGAGTCAGAACTTCTGAGTTATTCAGACTCTGATTGGTGTGGAGACAGAGTTGACAGAAGAAGTACATCTGGGTACTTGTTCAAATTTCTGGGAGGTTCCATTTCTTGGTGTTCCAAGAAGCAACCTGTTGTGGCGTTGTCAACCTGTGAAGCTGAATACATTGCAGGTGTTGTTACTGCATGTCAAGCTGTGTGGATTCTGAATCTGTTGCAGGATCTGAAGATTAAAGTAGACAAACCTCTGAAGTTGATGATTGACAATAAGTCTGCAATCAATCTTGCCAGAAACCCAGTGTTGCATGGGAGAAGCAAGCATATTGAGACCAAGTATCATTTTCTGAGACATCAAGTTCAGAGTGGAGTGTTAGAAGTTGTACACTGCAGCACTCAGAAGCAGTTGGCAGATGTTCTGACGAAAGCTATCAAGACTGATCAATTTCTCAGACTAAGGGATGAAATTGGTGTTACAAGTTTTGATGGAATATGAATTAAGGGATGGTATTAGAATATTAATAGTAATTCATATTTATTTAGTTATACTATTTTCTTAGCCCCTAAGTTTGTTAGAGGGTATTTTAGTATTTTATCTTATTCTAGTAACCCTAGTTTTAGCTTATAAATAGGGTGACAATCATTGTAACTATAATCATGTTTTTGTAGCCGTCATTCTTAATAAGAATATTTCCTTTCATCATCATTTATTCACCTAGCACCAACAATTGGTATCATCATTTATAAATTGACACCAACTATTTTTATTTTCGAAAAAAAGCAACTATTTTAAACTTAAAAAAAAAATCGACTATTTTGAACTTTCGAAAAAAATTGACTTTTTTAGAAAATATCAATTTTTTTATTTGTCGAAAAACCAAAATTTTTTTACAGAAAAATTGACTTTTTTTTACTTTTGTAAAAATTCGAATTTTTTTATTTGTCTAAAAATCAATTTTTTTACAAAACAATCAACTATTTTTTACTTTTGAAAAAATCGACTATTTTTATTTTCGATAGAAAATGACTTTTTTTTTATTTTGAAAAAAATTACTATTTTGAACTTTAAAAAAATCGACTATTTTGAACTTTTGAAGAAAATCAACTTTTATTATTTTTTGAAAAAAATCGATTTCTTTTTATTTTTTGAAATATCGAAATTTTTTTCGAAAGAATCGATTTTATTTTCGGAAAAAATCAACTTTTAAAAAAAAAAGACTTTTTTTAAAAAATTTCGAATAAAAATGATTTTTTTTTTTCATTTTCGAATAAAAACCGACTATTTTTAGCTTCCGAAAAAAATCTTTTTTTTCAAAAAAAAATTCGATCTTTTTATTTTCGAAAAAACCGACTTTTTATTTTGGAAATTTTTAATTTTTTTCAAAAAAAATTAAATTATTTATTTTTGAAAAAGTTGACTTTTTTTTTTGTAAAAAAATTTCCTTTTTTCGAAAAACACTCTACTTTTTTGTCTTCGAAAACGTCAAAATTTTTTTATTTTTGAAAAAATTGGCATTTCTTTTCGAAAAAAGATTGACTTTTTTATTTTTGAAAAAAAAATAATTTTTAGAAATATTTAATTTTTAAAAAAATATATTTAAAAAAACTAAAATATTTTCTTTCAAACTAATTAAATTTTGAGTCCCTTAATCCCCGTTAAAAGCAAAAATATAAGAGAACTTAAAAATAAGAGGTTAAAAAAATATTTATGTCGTAGGAAACTTTAAAAAAAGGGCCAACAAATGGCCTAATTATTAAGATTTTGTTATATATAGGTCTCTTTCACTCCTCTAAAAATAGGCCTCTAAGATTCTACGAAATGATCATATAGTTTACTTGTAACTTAAAACAAAGTAGTAAATGTTATTTTATTGAATAGTTTATTTAATAAAATATTCAATAATATTATATGAGCATATGTATTT